TTTGTAGCTCATCTGAAACCTTTCCACCATGGGTGACCCTGCTGGTTATTTAAAACACCGGTGGCATAGCCCTCAGAATCACAGCAACTCAGACCACCACAGCACGACAGACAGACGAGTGGTGGCTGTTTGGTTTTATGTAGCTGGTGGCCACAAACTGCTGGCCTTATGAATGGCAGTCCAGTTTTTATTTTACAGAGTCACTACACTCCCTTCAAAAAAAAATCTGCTTTTTAAAAGTTTTTATAAATACTTTTCAAAACTCTGCATAGTCAAGTCACAAATCCCAATCTTTCTTGATTTTGAACTTTGCTGGGACCTTGTGGTGCTGTAGGTTTATGCGCCAGACTGCAAAGCCGTTTGAACTGACAGGTCGGCGGTTCAAGCTCACCAGCTGCTCCTCAGAAACCCTACACAGGGACGCTATGCGTCGGAACCGACTCTGTGGCACTTAACAACAACAATAACCGTCTACATAGTATATATTTTATTGATAACCTGCCTTTATCATTTTCTCTACTTCTTCCTGTGTTTTCATCCCCTCCAAATTCTGTGAGCCCTTTGTAATTAAGTTGTATAACCGTATAACCGTTCCATCTGGTTGTCACCCGTACATTTTAACATGTTAGCGATGTAGTGGGTAATGTTGCTTTGTGATGCATATTAATAAATGTTATTTAATTTGAGAATTACATGAACTAGTGTTCTTAGTTCTCTGGCTGTTGATGTGCGTGTGTGTGTATGTGTGGAAAGGGTATACATCTTGTGAGATTTCACGTAGAGTGAATACATGCATTTTTGGGGATAGCAATTCTATAGCTCTTACCAGATGACAAAAAATAATGAAACATCAGTCCTTGGGTTACCACTTTCTGGGCCTCTGTTTGGAAGACAGAGAAAGTATCCCTAAGAGAGTAAGCAACTTACCTAGAAGCACAACTTGATATAGTTTCACTGTCTTTCAACTCTGACTCATTAGACTTTATGGTATCTAAAATGTTCATTTTATAGGGATTATAAAGATCAGTGCTTAATATGGGAAAGTATGCATTACTTATAAATGATCATTTATAATAATTTTTACCTTCTGTTTCATGCTTAATTATGTACAGCATATAAATTTTAAATTCTTATAGGTATACATTTATGGGACAGTTTAAGTATGGAAATTCAGCACAAATTTTTTGGCATACAGTATTTTAATTCAACATAATTATAGAATTTAAAAATTTCACTTCTGTGATTTAATGCACTTCTAATCTAGACTCATATTATGACAGCTGATCGATTCTAATGTACTTTTTTTCTGCTGTGATTTTCTTACAGGTTTGATGAACTTATAAAAAAATTCAAAGTTGATTATCATGCTGGTGGCTCTACCCAGAATTCAATCAAAGTGGCTCAGGTTGGTTAATTGTTTTAAAGCCTTTAAAGAAACTAGATTCAAAATGACCCAGTGCTTTCAGCCATTGGGCATAATGTTCCAATTGTTATTTTGTTGTTGTTGAATAGTTATGTTGATTGTGAATTGGCTTTTTTGTTTTTTAATTAGTTCTAGATTTTAATACTTACTTTGTAGTATGTTGTTGTTGTTGTTACATGTCATCGAGTCAGTTCCAACTCATCGTCGCCCTGTATAGGGTGTCCGAGGAGCAGCTGGTGAGCTTGAACTAAGTACGACAAGTATTTGCTTAAAATAATAAATAATTAACTTTTAAAAACGGTTTTATTTTTATTGGGTTTCATATTTGTTTGTTTCCATTTCTT